TCTAAATAGTTTCCAATTTGTCTAATTTTTTAAGGATGATATATGAATAAAAACTTGAAAACTGGTTTGGATCATTGGAAAAAAAAAATTGTAAGGTACCCTAAAGAGCGTTCCTCAAATATAAAATTATTTGATGGATTCCTCAATAAAAGGGGACTGATATATATGAATAAAAGATTGTAGAGAGAAAGACAAGAGAATTTGTTTTATCAACTTCAATATCATTCATCTTTGGCGCATACATAATCACAACCCATAAATACACTAAATACAATTATTAATACATAGGTACTCAAAGATAACAGAATGCATGTCATTGTACTCAAAGCTATATAGTTTCTTTAAATCAACAAACTTAATGACATACTCGATCAACAAACTTAATGACATACTCGATCAACTTAATGACAAACTTAATGACATACTCGATCAAATTCAACTTAATGCATATTTGTGTAAATATAAAACGGATTAAATACGTTCAATTAAAACAATTACAATTAACAATAAGTAGATTAAAGGACAAAGAAAGTCTGGCCTGTGAACCTAAGAGAGGCACGATAAATGTTGTCTTAAAGCCGTAGACGCCTTCCTACGTGTAGGTTATGGCGGTGCCTACAACTCCAAGATACAACCCAAAAGCCTCATAGGATCTCTAGTCTGTTATGCACGCCAACGGCAGACGAGTATGCCAAGTGTTGATCGATTGCCCAGGAAATAGATAAAGAGAATTGTAGGAGATGGAGAATGATGAGTGTGATTCAAATATAGAGCATGAGAGTAACAGAGAATTGTTCGTTCCCTATTATGTCTAAGGAGTTCTTTATTTATAAGACTCCACAAACCTTTTTAATAAAGTCACGTCTATTGGGTCAACAAATATGACTCTTAAAATAAATAATCATTACTATTAAATATATAACAATAATAATAAGTTTTGAATTTTAATAAAATAAAACAAAATAATAAATAACTAACAATCCCCCACAAGATTCAAAACTTCAAAAGGAATAGCCAAAATGAAAAACAAGTAAAGATGAGGAACTTGGGCAATTTGTATACCGTGCAATGGGTGTAGGTGTCTTCCGGACTTGAACCTACACTTAGTGTGAACAGCTTTCATTTGAAGGAATCATAGTGAACTATGTCTTGAACTAGACCCCTTTGATTCAAATTACAACATGTTACACATATGGTATCGATCCATAAACTTGGTGCAGGTTAGCGCTATTAATGGCCATGCGCTTAATCTTCATTCTCATGAAAGTTATTAGAGAACAACCCAGTTCTCACAGTTGCGGCCTCTTGACTACTCTCACTTAGGTGAGTCCTCCAACAATACATGTGACTCGTACCCTGCGAGAGTATCCTTGCCTTGAAACTCATTTTTGGTCAACGGATCAACAATATTCTTTTCAAACTTCATAAAATCCAAGGATACAACTTCCTTATTTAATAGGCTTCTCACATACTTATCTAACTTGAATGTTCATTTTCTTATTTTTATGAGCTTGTCTTACTAAATCTATGACAGCCTTATTGTCACAATGAATAGAAAAAGCTGGTATGGGTTTGTTCACAAGGGGTATCTCAAGCAAAAAATTCTTAATCCATTTAGCCTCAATGCATGCAGTATCAAGAGCTATAAGTTCTGACTCCATTGTACTCCTTGAAATTATTGTTTGTTTCTTGGATGCCCAAGATATAGCTGCTCCTCCTGACAAAAATACATATCCTGAAGTAGACTTTACATCAGAATTACCTGTAATCCAATTGGCGTCACTATACCCTTCTACTACACAAGGAAAACCTTTATAACATATGAGTAATCCAAAGTTCCTCTCAAATACTTGAACACTCACTCTAATGCATTCCAATGACCTTTACTTGGGTTTATGCGTATATCTGCTCAATCTTCCTACAACATTAGCTATATCTGCCCTCTTTTTATTTGCAATATACATCAAAGATCCAATCATTTGTGAATACTTAAGTTGAGACACAGGCTCACCATTATTTATCTTTAAGCTCACACTAGGATCATAGGGTGTTGAAATCGGATTGCTATAGTAAAATAGTTGAACTTTTTGAGCATTTTCTCAATTGAACTAGATTGATCCAAAGTAAAGCCAGCTTGTGTTCTTTCTAACTTCATTTCAAAAATAATGTAGGCTTCTCCTAGATCTTTCATATCAAACTTCCTTGATAGATAAGACTTAACATCTTTCACAATTTTCAAATTTGTTCCAAAATAATGATATATATCATTAACGTAAAGACACAATATAACACAATCTCCATCACACTCCTTGTAGTAAACACACTTATCATGCTCATTTATCTTAAAATCATATTCTAAAATGACTTTGTCAAACTTTTCATGCCACTGCTTAGGAGCTTGCTTAAGTCCATATAAGGATTTAACCAACTTACATACCTTATGCTCCTGACCTTTCACAATAAATCCCTCAAGTTGCTCCATATAGATTTCTTCGTCTAAGTCTCCATTCAAGAACGCTATTTTAACATCCATTTGATGAACTACTACGTTATGTATGGAGGCTAATGCTATAAGGGTCTGAATAGTAGTGATCCTAAGTGTCAAAATAATCAATTCCTTTCTTTTCAGTGAATCCCTTGACTACTAATCTAGCCTTGTATTTGTCTATGCTTCCATCTGGCTTCAATTTTTTTCCAAACATCCATTTACAACCAATTGGTGTAGTCCCAGGTGGTAAATCTGTTAATTCCCAAGTGTTATTTTGTAAAATAGATTCAACCTCACTATTTATCATCTCTTTCCAAAACGGAGCATCTATTGAGATCATAGCTTCTTTATAAGTTGTAGGTTCTCCCTCAACCAAGAATGTATAAAAATCATCTCCAAAACTCTTTTCTACTCTAGGTCTCTTACTCCTTCTAGGTTCTGCTTGAGGCTTTGCTTCATTTACAACTGGGAGACTAGTACTAGTTGAGGCTTTATCAGAACCATTATTAGATCTATCTACTACTTGCTTATGAATTCTAGTCTTGAAAGGAGATATGTCCTCAAAGTAAGTTGCATCCCTTGACTCCAATATTGTATTATTAGAAATTTCACTTATTTCAGAATTTATGACTAGAAACCTATTGGCACTACTATTATGAGCATAACCTAAGAAAACAGAATCCACAGTTTTTGGTCCTATCTTCTTCCTCTTAGGTTCAGGGATTGCAACTTTAGCCAAACACCCCCACACTTTCAAGACTTGAAGATTAAGAGCTCTCTTCTTCCAAACTTCATATGGAGTAGTGGTGTTGTCTTTAGCAATAACTTTATTTAATATGAAACATATGCAGTCAAAATTGCTTCCCCCCACAAATTGTCAGGTAATTCAGTACTCAATAACATTGCATTCATCATGTCCAATAAAGCCCTATTCTTCCTTTCTGCAAGTCCATTAGATTGTGGAGAGTAAGGTGATGTCACTTGATACCATGCTATTCACAAAACACACTGAGATCATTAAGAGTATATTCACCACCTCTATTAGACCTAAATCTCTTAATTCTCCTTTCTAATTGATTTTCTACTTCAGTCTTGTAAACTTTGAATTTGTTAAATACTTCATCCTTGGTCTTTATCAAATAAATATAACAGTACTTCGAACAATCATTTATAAATGTCACAAAATACTTATTTCCAACTCTAGTAGGTGGCCTATTTGAATCGCAAACATCACTGTGTATAAGCTCCAAAAGTTGGGTATTCCTCTCAACAGACTTAAAGGGTTTTTTAGGTTGTTTAGCTTGTACACAAATTTCACACTTGTGTTTGAGGTTCAAGGCTGACTTCGGAACTAAGTCTAAATCCATCATCTTTTTTATTTTCATCAAGTTTATGTGTCCCAACCTTCCATGCCAAACATTACTAGATTCCATATTGAAAACTTTAGGATGAATAACCTTTGAAGATACATATAACTTGAACAATCCTTCACTAATAAAACCTTTACCAATAAATACATTATTTTTGGTTATTACAACATTATTTGATTCCAATACAAGTTTGTAGCCTTGCTGTACTTAAGAAGATCCACTAATTAAATTTCTTCTAACATCAGGTACATGTCACACTTCCTTCAATATTAAGACCTTTCCAGATGTCATCTTTAGTTCTATATCTCCAAATCCAAGCACTTGTGCGACTGTGTCATTTCCTAGAGTTACATTTCCTCCATTTGATTTTTGGTAGTTTTTGAAAAAACCACGATCAAAACAAACATGTATATTAGCTCCAGAATCTAACCACAAGTCCTTATTTTGATAAGTAAAATTGACAAAAGAATCATACTTAAAATTTGTTTGGGAGGGCTCTTGCTCCACCAGCATATGCACTTGAGCTCTTGAACCAATATGATTTGACTTTGATCCACCTCAGTCTTCTTGTGAAAATAGTCCTTAGCCCACATGATTGGTTCTTCCACAAACAAAGCAAATCCTCTCTCTTTCTTGATTCTTAGTATTTTCAAAATTCCTGTTTTGGTTGGTTTGTCTATCGTTAATGAGAGACCTCATTGATTATTTGTATGTAAGATTATTATAGAAATTAATGAAGAGCCTTGGACTTTTCCTTGATTTGGTAATTGCATTGTAAATTAAGTACCATTTTCCAAAACATGATGCCAGATGGACAAATATGATGGCAACAATTTTCAATTGAATTACAAGCGTTGCCATTGTCTTCCGCATCTCCTTCATCCGAAAATTCTCCCCAAATTTTTTACCAAAAAAAGAAAATAAAATTTTATGGCGACAATTTTCAATTTAATTCCTTTACACCAAATGCGAATCTTCCCTTCCGTAAATTAAGGGTTGAAGTGAATTAAGGTTTATGTAACATCGTTGAAGTGAATTAAGGGTTTATGTATGACACAGACCCTTCACGAGTTGACTTGGCTGACTTGGAATGATCTGGTTTATCAGGTAAGCTTGTTTGCCAATTTTGCTTTTGTGCAGCCATGGACAACAAAACCAACCAAAAGTTTTTAATGTCTGTTATTTTTTTATGCCTGTATATGAAAAACCATGTTTGCCTTGCAGCTGACACCATCACTGCAAACCAACCTCTCTCTGGAGATCACACCATTGTCTCTGCAGGTGGGGCTTTTGAGCTGGGTTTCTTCAAACCAGGTAATTCTTCAAACTACTACATAGGCATCTGGTACAAGAAAGTTTCTGTTAGGACCGTAGTGTGGGTGGCAAATAGGGAACAGCCAATCTCTGATAGATTTTCTTCAGTGTTGAAAATATCAGATGGTAATTTACTTCTCTTCAGTGAGTCCAAAGGTTCAGTTTGGTCCACAAGTGCGACCTCCACCACCACTATCTCAGCCTCAGGTTCTGTAGAAGCAGTTCTTTTAGACAATGGTAACCTTGTCTTAAGAGCTGATGGATCTAGTGCTAGTACTAAATCAGAGCCTTTATGGCAAAGTTTTGATCATCCAGCCGATACATGGCTACCAGGAAGTAGAATCCGATTCAACAAAATTACCAAACAACGCCACCAGATTCTCACTTCATGGAAGAATTCAGAGGATCCTGCACCAGGTCTTTTCTCTCTTGGGCTTGACCCAAATGGATCATTTATCATACTGTGGAATATGTCTCTACAGTATTGGACTAGTGGATCATGGGATGAAAATTCAGATACTTTCAGATTGGATCCTGAGATGACGCTTAATAAGGTTTTCAATTACAGCTATGTTACAAACGAAAATGAAAGTTATTTTACCTATTCTCTTTATGATCCTAAGAGAATATCTCAATACGTGATGAATACCTCAGGGCAGATTCAGCAACTAACATGGTTGGAGACTACCAGCAAAAGGCAATGGAATTTGTTTTGGTCTAAACCAAAAGTTTATGCCTTTTGCGGACCATTCAGTAGTTACAATGAGAAATCCTTGCCTTTATGTAGTTGTTTGATGGGGTTTGAGCCAGAGTCACGTAGGGATTGGAGTTTGCAGGATTATTCAGGTGGGTGCTCAAGAAAAACCAGCCTGCAATGTGGGAATGCTGCCGGTGTTAATGGGACAGAAGATGGGTTTCTAGAAATGCCTAGCATGTCATTGCCTGCCAATGTTGAGTGTTGATGCTCAAAATGGTTGGGCCAAGATTGAGTCCAACTTAGTGATGAGGTGTGATGAATGATGGGTGAAGGTTTGGACCTTCAGCATGTATGTGAGGACTTGGCCAATTTATGAGTATACAAAAGACAAGATATATGTGGTTCACCCTTAATGAATGGGCTACGTCCACAGAGAAGATGTTCTCATTATGATATTGTTTACATTTGTACAAGGGGATTAGACCCAAAGATAACTGGAAGAAGGCCTAGGGCCTAAGGTACAAAGTTAGGAGTCTGGAGCCCAGGTGTCAAGTCCCCGGGTCTGGAGACCCAGGACTCGGAGGCCAGACTAATAGGAGAGTCCTGAAGAGGGAACCCAGCTCAGTTTCGGATCCTCTCTTAAGTGGAGAGTGGTATGCTTTTATAGGTGAGAGGGAGCCTTCACTTCTTGTTGTTTTCCGATGTGGGACTCCTCTTGCTTTGCTTAGAGTTCCTTCTAGTCTTCTAGTTGCTTGGTCAGTTATGGTGTCAACAATTTTCTTCTGCAATCTTTATTTTTTTTCTTCTTGCTCTGGATGTTTAGTACATGTTAATTTTTTGGCCCCCCCAAAAATTTGAATCTTGGCTCCGCCCCTGGTCAGAATAGCTGTCGTACCTAACATAATCCAAAAGATATGAAGATTGTCTAAAACAAAATTCGTTAATCAACGGGTTTAAAAATAAATAAAGAACCTTTAGTTTAGCAATTCGTAGCCTGTATATCCAAATAAAATGAAAAAGTTAGTTTCGGTACACAATAAAGACCACTAAGTTTCGGTTTATCAATTAATAAATGAGAATGATATATTTAGGTATATACCCATTCTTAGAACTAATGATATAGATGAACCATACACCATTTAATTTCTATAAACAAACCAACAACAACAACAACCAAAACAAAAAAAAAACATCTGGCTCCTGGTACACTATTTGGTGGTTCCTATAGCTCAGTTATTTTCAAAGTAGCACTATGCACTTGCAAATGATAATGAGTGAATTGATTTGATGGTCATGATTACTGTTTTTGAATTACTTATTAGGGTCGGGGGACGCCACTCCTGGTACCTGTTTTAATATTGCATGCATGCTCTCACTCGTCATATAAATCAATATTGCATGCATGCTCTCATCACTTTAGGTTTTCATCTTCATGACAAATTAGGGATCCTTTTAATCTCCTTCACACTCCTCACTTTGATAGGAATCTAAGTCCTAAACCAACTTATTTTATTTCCTCTGCTGCGTTGTGTGTGT